ATTTTAGATTACAAATGGGAAATTGACAGCCCCAAACCCTCTGAGGCTGTCAATTTCCCGTTTGTAATCTAAAATGACTGAAAATTGCAAACTTTCGCAAGGCTATATTTTCCACATTTTACAACATTTCGCAACGAAACTTTGGAATATTACTAATTTTGTGATGCTCTTTCAAGCTGTGATGAAATTTTTGTCTAGACTTGTTTAGATCAAAATTTAGTCTATTACGCAAATGGTCAATTGCACGTTTCATCTCGGCTATCCTTATTGGACGATTACTTCATTACTCCGCCAAAATACAGCGAGCTCAATCACCGTGACCGTGTACAAATTAACATAAACTCAGGCAAAAACATAATACAGGCACTTCTGTTTAGTTTCCAGATCTAGGGTTAGGTGTTAGATTAGGGGTTAGGTATCAATTGGGACGGGAGTCCTGTTCCTTTCCCCTGTCACGATTTGTATCTGTCTTTATTTGTCTTTAATTAGTTTGTATCGTGTATAAAGTGACAAATTCATTATATTATATTATTATTATTATTATATTATATCATTATATCTTGATGGACTATATCCAGTAGAGGTGTGCATCGGATCGGACGTTTATAATCCGATTGGCTAATGTTTAAAATCCGATCCGAATCTAATCCGAGTTTTGATAAAGAATTTCGATCCGATCCGAAGAATCTTTAATAAAATAAATTTCTCATTCAAGTTGAAATATTTAACCAGATCAATATAAAAGCAAGAAATACATGTCAAGAAGCTGACAAAGTGACGTCCAATTGAAGTATCAAACGAATAATGCAGCGACAACCGCGATAATGCGTTCATAAATGCACGGATAATTAATTCTTGCGATAATGCGTGGATAATTCATTCATTTTATTTCGAATATCGATGTCCGATCCGATCCGACTACGAAACAACTTTATCAATCCGATCCGATATGTATATTTTTGTTCCGAAATCTGAACGAATCCGATCGGATTTGCACACCTCTAATATCCAGTATGGCAGTATCCCTAGAAAGACAAATGGCATTGCAATACTGCTGACAGGGCTAGAAAGAATCAAGAATCTATCACAAAGCAAATTAATGTGTATTTCGGTAACGACAATATAAACCACCAAGAATTATAACTAATTTGTAAAGGAGTAACACCCCTCACAAATCATCAAATTTTTGTCTCTCTAAAATTTCTTCATAAAATCAGTGTTTTTGTATAAAGTCAGTACAACACGAACGATTTGCAATCTCGATGTTTTTAACTAACTTTATCTTACATTGTATGCATTATATATTAGATTCACTTTAATTATAGACTATAGGGTTTATTATGTGATAGCAAGTTCAGCAGGCCCTTTCCGTATAGCATCATGAGCAATATTTCAACACAGTGAGTGAGCGACTGGGTGGCATTCGTGAAACAATGGAACATTCTGGGGCCGGTTGTTCAAAGCTGGACTAGCGTTACCCCTGGATTAAAAAATTAACCTGCCGTTTTAGTTTTTGTACAAAACTTCAGAAAAGAAAACTCCTATATTGATCCACACAAGATTTCTGAAGAAATATTTCAAATTTTACGCGTAAGACGTTGGGAAGTTTGCTTTGAACTTTAGGTTAAGGTTACAGAACACCTTTGAGTGTTAATTTTGCCTAAAATTCTTTTATTGGTTTCCATGAAAGCATTTGACTAGTTCTACTATCTGACCAAGTTTGGACGAAAAATGTTGAAAACTCGCAGAGTTATTTAATAAAATACATTTCGCTTGCAATAAGAAAAACATTGAAAATGTATATTCAAATTCAATTTTCTCCCGAAGAATTTTACGGCAATTACTGATTTTTAAACGAGTTGTGCTCCTGCGGGTTTTAACGAATTTTTTCTCAAATTTTCACAGAACATAGCTAAAGACGTCAGTTTCAAAATTGTGTTCGGCTTTGTTCTAATTTTGGATATTTTAATAATAAGGAGCAATTCACACAAACGATTCAGAAATATATTGCAGTCGTCAAAGAAATCGCCATATCAGCGGAATGACGGAATAAACAAAAATTTCCGAACACAATTTTTTAGAACAACTATTTTACTGTATAAAAATGATATTTTCATAAATATATCTTAAAACCAGCAGGAACATAACTCAAAAGCGTAAAGGTACCGCGACTTAAGATTTTCCTGAATAATTCTAACATCATTTTATTGTTTGTCAATTTTACAACTTTATCATATTTTGCATGCATTAGCTAACATTTGGTGAAATTTTGACGAAAATCGGACTGATTTTGAGCGCGCAGTAGCGATTTTCCACAAAACGCTAAAAGGGTGTCCTGTAACCTTAACTTAGTGGTAAGCTAACTGGCTTTAGAACAACCGGCCCCGAGCACTAAAGGCTCAGATCCTTTCCTATACGGGCACTACAATGTTGGCCCCCAACATCTTCATAGGCGTACGAAAGAGGAGCCGCAGCCCCTCCCCCCCAACCCATGTCTATTGGAAAATAGGGCAATTCTATTTAAAAATCGGGTAAGTGATGAAAGGGAAGTTATGGGAAGTTTATGATGTTTGTCAGGCAATCTCCATCAAGGTTGGGGAAAAAAGTTTTCTTGCTTTCTTGATGCGTAATTAGCTGAAACTGAATGCGTAATTAGCCCGTTGTATAATTTATGCATGATTCATAACTTACGGACCGGTCATTATTTATGGTGGGGGGTGGCACCGAAGAGGGATGTTTTTCGTGGAAAAAATTTTGCTGACCCAACCATTAGAAAGTCAAAAATTTGATTACTCAACCTCAACTATCAATTAAAAAATAAATACCCACCCCTGGCCAAAAACTTTACAAAAGGATACCATTCAGTTGTCACACATGTCCTTTACCACTTCTGTGACATGAGTTTGATGACGGCTTGTGAAATTTTCTGCAGTCTAAAGTTTCATATTGTCTGCACATGTTGTTTCTTTGGAGACACCATTTGTTTCCCAACAAATCGGAAAATGATCAAGATAGTGACTCTGATTGATTCACATATTGTATTGACATATGACTGTTGACATGGCTTTTTAGTCTCCAACATTTCAGTGAGTCATGCTTTGGAAATGACAATAATTTTTTTTATTACCTAATTTGTTTTTCATTTAACCAACCTTTTACTTACTCAAAATTTTGTTTACCCAACCCTTTCCTCTTCGGTGCCAACCCCCACCATAAATAATGACCGGTCCCTTAATTC